GAATGGATGGATAAATGGGTAGATGGATGATTGGATGGATAGAGAGATGGATGGGTGGGTGGATGGATAGAGAGATGGATGGGTGGATGGATGGAATGGATGGATAAATGGGTAGATGGATGAGTGGATGGATAGAGAGATGGATGGGTGGGTGGATGGATAGAGAGATGGATGGGTGGATGGATGGATGAGTGGATGGATGGAATGGATGGATAAATGGGTAGATGGATGAGTGGATGGGTAGAGAGATGGAAGGGTGGATAGGTTGATGGATGGACGAATGGGTGGGTGGAATGAATGGATGGATGAGATGGATGGATGGATGGATGAATGGATGGATGGATGGAATGGATGGATAAATGGGTAGATGGATGAGTGGATGGGTAGAGAGATGGAAGGGTGGATAGGTTGATGGATGGACGAATGGGTGGGTGGAATGAATGGATGGATGAGATGGATGGATGGATGGATGAATGGATGGATGAGATGGATGAATGGATGGATGAGATGGATGGATGAATGGATGGATGGATGAATGGATGGATGAGATGGATGGATGGATGAATGGATGTATGGGTGGAATGAATGGATGGATGAGATGGATTGATGTATGGATGGATGGATGGATGAATGGGTGGGTGGAATGAATGGATGGAAAGATGGATGAGATGGATGGATGGATGCATGGGTGATTGAATGGATGAAAGGATGAACGAAATGCAGCCGTGTTGTTTACAAGGGTGCTGTTCTTTAATAACACAGGTTCCATTGCCTTGCAGCTTAAAGAGAGCCACCATGTCTACCTTAACTGTGGACATAGCAAACAAGGAAATTTCATGTGTGGATATCAAGCCACTGGTAGGTCCCAAATCTTTGCTGTCCCATATTCGGTGTCTACGTGTTAAAGACGCATGGAAGCTGGCCCTGAGGTTGCAGTGAGCAGAGATAGTGCCACTGCACTCCAACCTGGGTGCAACAGAGTGAGACTCTGCCTCAAAAAATAAAAAAAAATTAAAAATAATAATAAACATTCATGGCATAAAAAAATGTATGGCTGCATGCTTCCACACAGATGAACCTCAAGGAGATCCCACACGGTGATAGAAGCCAGGCACGAAAGGACAAATTCTGTGTGATTCCACTGTTAGGAGGTCCCTAGAGTCATCAGATTCATAGAGACAGAAAGTAGGATTGGGGGTGTCAGGGGCTGGGGAAGGGGGTGATTGAGGCAGTTGAATGCAGGCAGTCACCCTGTTGGCCAGGCTGGTCTCGAACTTTTGATCTCAGGTGATCTGCCCGCCTCAGTCTCCCAAAGTGCTGGGATTACAGGCGTGAGCCACTGCGCCTGGCTCTTTTTTATTTTTAGATACAGGGTCTCACTCTGTCTCCCAGGCTGAAGCACAGTAGCACAATCAAGGCTTACTGCAGCCTCAACCTTCTGGGCTCAAGCGATGTTCCTGCCTCAGCCTCCCAAGTAGCTGGGATTACAGGCGTGCACCACCATGCCCAGCTAAGTTTTATTTTTCATAGAGACAAGGTGTCACTATGTTGCCCAGACTGGTCTCTAACTCCTGGCCTCAAGCAATCCTACTGCCTCAGCCTCTCAAAGTGCTGGGATTACAGGCGTGAGCCACTGCGCCTGGCCCGTGTTTGTCTTAATACAAAACAGCTTTCAAATACCAGAAGTCCTTTGGTCCTGTGGCTTTTAGACTCCATTGTATAACTCTGAGGGTGCCATGCAGCACTGCAGTTTGAGAAGCATGTCCCTAAGGCTGTAAAGTAACCCCCAATCGCTCTTTCTATCTTCTTTCTCCTTTTTGTTTATTCATTCCAGGCCATTGATTGATTGATTGATTGATTCATTCATTCATTCATTTACAGGCGTGCACCACCATGCCCAGCTAAGTTTTATTTTTCATAGAGACAAGGTGTCACTATGTTGCCCAGACTGGTCTCTAACTCCTGGCCTCAAGCAATCCTACTGCCTCAGCCTCTCAAAGTGCTGGGATTACAGGCGTGAGCCACTGCGCCTGGCCCGTGTTTGTCTTAATACAAAACTGCTTTCAAATACCAGAAGTACTTTGGTCCTGTGGCTTTTAGACTCCATTGTATAACTCTGAGGGTGCCGTGCAGCACTGCAGTTTGAGAAGCATGTTCCTAAGGCTGTAAAGTAACCCCCAATCGCTCTTCTATCTTCTTTCTCCTTTTTGTTTCTTCACTCCAGGCCATTGATTGATTGATTGATTCATTCATTCATTCATTCATACATGCATGCATGCATTTTTTTTTCCCCATGCTCTCTGTGTACCAAGGATTGTGCTGGGCTCATAAATTAGTTCTGGGCCTGGCACAGTGGCTCACATCTGTATTCCTAGCACTCTGGGAGGCCCAGGCAGGTGGATCACCTGAGGTCAAGAGTTGGAGACCAGCCTGGCCAACATGATGAAACCCCGTCTCTACTAAAAATACAACAATTAGCCGGGCATGGTGGCAGGCACCTGTAATCCCAGCTACTTGGGAAGCTGAGGCAGGAGAATCGCTTGAACGCAGGGGGAGGATGTTGCAGTGAGCTGAGATTGGGCCACTGCACTCCAGCCTGGGTGACAGAGCAAAAACTCCGTCTCAAAAAAAAAAAAATTAATTAAAAGAAAAAGTTGGCCAGGCTCAGTGGCTCATACCTGTAAAACCAGCACATTGGGAGGCCGAGACGGGGAGATCACGAGGTCAGGAGATCGAGACCATTCTGGCTAACACGGTGAAACCCCATCTCTACTAAAAAAAAATTAAAAAAATAGCCGGGTGTCGTGGTGGGCACCTGTAGTCCCAGATGCTTGGGAGGCTGAGGCAAGAGAATGGCACGAACCCAGGAGGCGGAGCTTGCAGTGAGCTGAGATCGCACCACTGTACTCCAGCCTGGGCGACAGAGTGAGACTGTGTCTCAAAAAAAATAAAAATAAAAGAAGAAAAAGAAAAAGTTAATTCTGTTCTCTGTGAAGCCACTAACAGCTCGTCAGGTGACACCGGGAGTTTAGTTAGCCCTACCCCAGGCTCTCAGAGCTTAAGCTCCACGGGGCCAGCTGCAGTTACAGTGCATCCCAGGCATCCAAGGACATGCTATTGGAATCCAGGCCACATGGTTTCCAAACCGTTCCCACGGGAATGTGTCCCTGTATAGGATTCACTGCGTCTGGGTGACCCTCACTGACCTGGGTCCACATTTCTGTCTCCTCTGCAGTCGACACTGATTTCAGTTGGCTGTGATCTGGATAAAAAGATCGTCATCCAGAAGTAAGTATGCTGAGGCCGGGTGCCGTATCTCACGGCTGTGATCCCAGCACTTTGGGAGGCCAAGGTGGGCAGATCACTTGAGGTCAGGAGTTCAAGACCAGCCTGGCCAATGTGGCGAAACCCCGTCTCTACTGGAAAAAAAAAAAAAAATTATGCGTGGTGGCAGGCCTGCAATCTCACCTACTTGGGAGGCTGAGGCTGGAGGATCACTTGAACCTGGGAGGTGGAGGCTGCAGTGAGCTGAGATTGGGCCACTGCACTCTGCACTCCAGCCTGGGTAACACAGTAAGACTCTTGTCTCGAAAAACAAACAAACAAACAAACAAACAAAAGAAGTAAGTATGTTGCTATTGGAGTGGAGTAGGGAGAGGGGAGGAGGGGAGTTGTTGGGGCACCATTAGCCACATGGTAACAATTGCTGAGGTGGATGACTTTCGATTATTCTGTTTAGTTTTGTACAACTCGCCCGGCTAGTTTTTGTATTTTTTAGTAGATGACGGGGTTTCACCATGTTTAAGCCAGGAATAGGGGTCTGGCTTTTAAAAAAAATTTTATTTTAAAAACTGTGTTTAGGCCAGGCGCGGTGGGCTCATGCCGTAAAATTCCCCAGCACTTTTGGGAGGCTGAGGCGGGCAAAAATCTCTTGAGGCAGGACTTTGAGACCAGCCCTGGGCCAACATGGTGAAACCCCCGTTTTCTACTAAAAATACCAAAAATTAGACCCAGGGTGTGGATAAAAGGCTGCCTGTAATCCCAGCTACTAGGGAGGCTGACAGCAGGAGAATCGCTTGAACCTGGGAGGCAGAGTTGCAGTGAGCTTGAGAATCCGTGCCACTGTAAACTCCAGCCTGGGCGACAGGGCAAAAGACTCAGTCTCAAAAAAAAAAAACAAAAAAAGTGGATATCAACCAACCAGGTGAAAAGAGGGGAGTCAAATGTTGCTGGAAACAAAGTAACCTATTAAGGGTGAATCATTTAACTTTTTAATTATGGAAATAGTAAATACATTATCCA